AAATCTCAGTCGTAGCATTAAAACCTTCGAATGCAATGCAACTTACTTGGAACAATTCATGCAACTTGTTCTTGAGATAGCAGTATTCATGCTCCAGCATCTCCAACGCTCGCAAGCATCTGCAATATGGCACGTGGGCAGTTTCAATAAACTATATATCAACAATCAGAGTTTATTTAAATTTAATGCAATCGTTTATTCAAGACTTGATTATTTATCGGGTAGAGAAAAAGAACACGAATCTCGAGAGGGAGAGTTAGGTGTATGTATGTACCCTGCACGGTTGCTCTGGTCTGTAGCAGCACGAAAGGCAACGCAAATGTTTGTGACTCTCTTGGCACCGATGCTTGAGCTGCTTCCCATGAACTGATTCAAATGGATTCCCATTTTCTTGTAATCTGATAACTCCCTTTCCATTCTGCGACATGCAGAAATCAATTTAACAAGGAGAGTTCATAACATAACTAATCCAAACGAGCAAAGAAGAAGAAGAAGAAGATTAATTACATACAGCAATCCTCTGAGATTGTTGAGCAGCTTCTCGGATTCGTGAAAATAAATGTTGACAACCTCAGAGACGAAGTTTGGGGAGGCCTCTTCTTGCAGCTGTTGAAGCTGCAAAAATTGCTCATCCAACACTCCCTGCATGTATACATGCATACACGGAATCGAATCAGACCAAACATTTGTAAATCGATCTTATCATAAGACTGTTAATTAACACATATAATAGAATGTTTTTAATGTTGTATGTATAGGAAGCATATATGATATATACCTGGTGGAAAAGAAAAGCAAGAAGACGGTTCATGTCGGCCCACAAGAGGTCCGCACCGAAACCAAGCATCCACAGAGGGAGACCCGTTTTGGCGAATTGATTAAACCACCGTATGCAATGGAAGATCAAGCAGCAGGCGGCACTGTAACAGTATAACTTATTGACACCAAGACCAAGAAGAACAAGGGACACAAATACTCACTCACTCACACACTCCAGCTTCTATTGTTGTCACGGGAATGCCAATACTCCTATTTAAAGGCAAACGTTCTTCTACCACAAAATTAGTAATAACTCATGAACTTGTGAATCATTAAGAGATTATAAATAAATGTATTGTGGAAAGTTGTTTCTCATTAGTATATTATGATTAGAATATATTGGTTAAGAAATCAATACATATAATATAAAACATGCTTTCTAATTCCTTAAATAATATCTTTAACCATTTTTGAAATTATTTAAAACTTGTTTTAATAGTCCTATGAAAGTAGTAATTAATGATGGCATTGATGAGTTAAGTTGAGTGAGAGTGAGTTTTGGGGTGTGGGTGTTAATTAAAATATAGAAAGGAAGGAAGGCATGGAGGTGAATTGGAGTAATCGAGATGAATGTGGGGTATCTACCCTACCAATTCAAGGCCATTGCCCCAGGCAGTGTTTCAAACTGCAATTCTTCTCCTTCTGTTCCCTTCTCACCTCACTTCACATCTTTCCACTAAAATGCTCCATTCACCTCACACCTGCCTGCTGCTCCACCTGCTATAACTTCGTTGCTGTCACTATTTTAACTGTGGATTCAGTTAACAACTTTTTTTTAACAATTGTTTAACAGTAAACTATTGATATTTTATTTGTCCTAGGACTAATCACATACCACATAAATTATTATAAAGAAATTGTTAAAAGAAAATTTTCTTTAATTATACTGATTTATGTTAGTGACATTTTTTAACTTGAATTTTTAATCAAAGTTCAAAAGATTGAGGTTAGTATTAGGCTATTTTTGCAGTGTCTATTAAAAGTTTACTTCGTTTGAAATTGACTTTTGTTTTGATTTCGGTATCTTAACAATTTTTTGACAATAGATTTTGTCACTATTTTATTTGTTTGTATATCTAAAACAGACCAATCACAAGCTATCACACAAGCGGTTGTAAAAAAACATTTTCCTTTATTTTTATAGGATATTTTATTAAAAAAAAGATATTTTACATATTTTTTAATAATGTTACTACTGAGGGCGGAGTAACCGACCGGGCGTGTTCAGATATGTCCGGTGTGGTCTCTCAAGTCTAATATGTCTGATCGGGTCTCTCAAGTCTAATATGTCCGATCGGGTTTCTCAAGTCTAATATGTCCGATCGGGTTTCTCAAGTCTAATATGTCCGATCGGGCGGGCCCCTAAAACTGTTTGCTGGAGACAGTGGTTGAATGCTCATGAATGTGTAATTAATGAGATAACGATCGTTGTCGAGTATTTAAGATTAGCATTGAAAGCCATTAAGAGGTAAATTAATGGGTAATATTCTCTCAAAGCATATAAATAACAATCGAAGGAGAAGGTAAACTCTCTGTTTTTTACTTGGACCTGCAAAGACCAATTCTGACTTGAGCGTTAGAGTGTTTCCTGCAGGTCACTCCACTTATACGGAGAGCGAGCATAAGAAAGGCGAAGGACGAAGGACCAATCGGTAGAGGAGAAATATTTCCGAACGGAGGCCGCAGGAGTTTTCCCCATCAGCAGAAACAAATAACATTTTTACAATATATATATATATATATAT